TACTAAGAGGATAAAAATGGAGAATAACCTAATGTCCATGAAAAGGGGAATGGATAACGTGGTGCCGTCAAAATATGGAATTCTCCACAGTGGTCCACAAAAAATAAAATAGATTTACGTAGGGATGGACATAAATGAATAATTTTGTTTTATATTTTGCGATGCTGGAGGCAACCGGCTAGGCAAGCATTCTGCCACTGAGCTCTGCCACTAGCCCTATAAATGCATGTTGAGCAAGGAGGTGAAAGAAGCAGGTTGAGAAATTATACATGAATGAGAGCATTTCTGTAAATTTGGAAATACAAAATATTGTTTCTGGATACATATCTGGAGAAAAGTATGAAAACAGACCAGAAAGATATAGATAAAATTGGTGATCTCTGTAGCCCTGAGGAAAGGGAGAAGTAGAATCATGAGATGTTTAGAAAGGGAACCTAAATTTTCCTCTAAATTTTACTTTTTTTATGAGGAGAAAGCAAATTGGAAGCAAAGATGAAAATGTTTTAAGTAATGTAATTAAAAATTGTTGAAAGGGAGAAAAAGTCAGTGACAGAGTGGTTAAGAGACTGCTGCCACTTCTGTGCTATGTGATCTTGACTAAGCTACTTGACTTCTCTGAGTTTCCAAAAGTGAGCAACAGAACTCTAGCTCCCAGGATTATTAGCATGGGGAATAAATGAGTTAATATATCAAGTGTCTAGAACAGTAGCTGACATGTAGTAAGTACCGGTGAATACATCACTTACAAAGTGATTTCTATTTTTACTGTAAGTGGAGCAATGAATATATTCAAAGATAAATATTTAATGCTGTATTCCTTCCTTGCCTTTTCATTCATGACCGCTTCCCAGTACTAAACCCAGTACCCATCCGTATTCACAGACATTTCACAGCTCAGAAAGCTCCTCTCTAGAAAAGGAGTATATTGGCAGTTTTCCACTGGATCATAAATGGGAGTCGTCCCCCGCCCCTCCACTTCTCTGCCTCCTGTGGCTTCTCAATGCCTTCAAACAGAAGGCTCTGGGTGAAGGAAGCTGGTGCCAGCCACCTCGAGTCACTGCTGATGAGAGAGGTTGTGACCCTTCCTCACAACCTGTCCTAACTGCAGAAATGAAAGTTGTCTTGACTTTACCTAACAGGAGTCTCCCTCCCAGATGGGCCCTTTCCCAAAGGCCATGGATCAGCCCTGATTATCAATGTGCAATAACCCAAGCTTGCCAGGCATAAGTTGGGCAGTGCAGCCTAGTGGTTAGTAGGCTTTGTTCCACCATTAACCGAGTGGCCCCTCAGTGCCCTCAGGATCCCCATCCCTACAGTGGAGTTATTAAAGAGTACGAATCATCTCCATGTGAGCCAATATTACATCTACCACGTATTACATTCCTTTTTCCAAGACACACATGTTGGGCTTGGTCTAATATCTACATATTCAAAAACTGATCCGTCTTGATACCTCCCAAAATACGGCACTAGAAAATGCTGTGGTGTTTCTAAAGTATTTTAAAGACACAGGACATGGGCCAGATCTGTAACTGAGAGCATGGGTGTATGATCACTTTGTAGACAAAAAAGAGAGCCCTTTAAGGAAAAGATTTTTTACAGACACAATTCACAGTAAATACAAAAGATAAAGGTTGTGGTTTTACTAAGAAGTTGCACCAGAAGTTACTTCCTGAGCTACACCAGAGTGGATTCATTTCTGGGTGGGACAGTACTGTGGCTTCAAAAACAATTCTTTTGGAGGTAAGCAACAATAGGGAGGGAGAGGTGAGGGGAATCAGGGAAGAGCAGGAGGAAATGAGGAAGTTTGGGGAGAAGCAGAATGTCTAGCAGAATGCTACACTCTCCAGACATTGACCTACCACCTGTCCTTATCATGTTAACAAAGTCCTAATAACCACCACTAATTTGTGGGAACTTGCTCTTTGCCAGGTCTGGGCAAGGGTTTATGAAGTTCAGTTCATTTAATCCTTGACAGAACATTCTGAATTAGATGCCATTGTTATTCCTTACATGATTATTTCCTGTCTTACACATGAGAATAGTGAGGCTTCCAGAGGGTGAGTAATTTGCCTATCACACAACTGGCAAGTAGCCAAGTTCAAATTCACACCCAAGTGGAGGGAATCTGGAGCCTGGGCCATTAACCAGCACACTGTCCTGCAGGCTGCAGGCTGTAAGGGCTTTGCAGAAGATAACAAGGATAGCACTCATATGTCACTTAACGGATATGTGATAAGAAGTCCAAGTGGTTTCAGTTCTAAGCAAGATAGGGACGTGGTAGGATTTCAGTTCCAGTAAATTGCCCTAGCAGTAATGTAGAAAATAGATGCCTAGATGTCTCCATTTCCAATAAAATTCACACTTTTTTTCCCAACAAATTAATATAAATTTTTATGGTTAATTGATTTCTTTAAACTTTTTTTAAAATTGTGGTAAAATATACATGTCACAGAATTTATCACTTTAACCATTCTAAGGGTGTTGTTCAGTAGCATTATATACATTCAGTGTTGTATGACCTTCATTGCCATCTATCTTCAGAAAATTTTCATTGTCCTTAAACTGAAAACCATGTTCTCACTAAACATAACTCATCATTTTCCCCATTCTCCCAGTTCCTTGTAACTTCCATTCTACTTTATACCTCTGTGAATTAGACTACTCTAGGTACCTTGTGTAAGGGAACAATAACAGTATTTATCCTTTTGTGTCTCACTCATTTCACCCAGCACTTTTCAAGAGTCATATGTAGCATATTTCAGAATTTCATTCCTTTTCAAGGCTGAATAATATTCCATTGTATGGCTATACCACAATTTGTTTATCCATTCATCTGTTTATGAGCTAGCTGAGCATTTGAGTTGAGTTCCAACTTTTAGCTGTTGTGAACAATGCTACAGTAAACTTTGGTGTAGTCAAGCCAAGTAATATCTTAAATTGAATGGAACCTTGCCTTTTCCCATCCCCTCCTCTATAACCCTGTTCTGAATCCAAACCGCCTCAATGTTTTTAGGGTCATTCTTTAAAACTTTTTTTTTAAATCTCTCTTTGCAGTGACCAGTCCATCCAGGAGAAGAGTCAAAAGCTCTCAACACCTCTTGACCAAGAATGTAAGGAAACTTTAGTTTTGATCCTCTTTGGCTACCTTTCATGACAAAAGCAATGCTGGCTTCTTTACCCCTCTGCTGTCAACAACAGGAGTGTTCTCTATGTACCGTGTGCTGCATTCTGTCCTCCACTTAGCTGAGTAACTGACAAATGTCAATCAGACACTAAACAGCCCTGAAGTGGACTCCCCTGCTCTGTTTTCTCCAGACACAAAGTGTAAACCCTGCTTTCCATGCACATTTTGTTCTTGGTTAAAAAACCGAGTCCCTGGCATGAACATAGCATCCCTGACCTAAGGGTTCTCCTATTGCTGGCATTACAGTTCCATTTATCACTATTAGAAATAGCACAGCAATGAACTTACCTGTGAAACATACGATTCTTTTGGATTAATTCCTTGGTGCATAGATCTCAAAGTAGCATTAACGAGTAAAGTTCCATTCCAAGAACATGCATACAAATATACCTGCACACGTTCATCAAATATTTGCATTTCTACTATGTGAAAGATATTGCACTAGATGCAGGGATTCGTGTTTTTGAAATATGACTTCTGCTTATAGTTTTGCCACATCCTTCCAGAAATCCTGAACAACTTTTGGGCTTCTAGCAACGCTTTCCATTTACCTCCAACTTCACCAACATTGGCTTTCATTTTTTATAATGCCTTGCTTCTCTAATATGTATATGTAGTAACTTGAAATTAGTTTACACCTCTTTAGAGCCCAATAATGTTATATGTTTTGCATTTTTATATCCATTTCTTTGTATAAAAACTGTCCATATACCTTTGTACTTTAAGAGGGAAACTAATTGCTTCTTAGTTATACTAGAGTTTCTATTTCTATCACAATTTTTCATAAAATACTATTTTGGTTTATTAAGTATGTCAAATTTTCAAAGCCTATTCTCTATTCAGAAAAAAAATTAAGTACTGGGAATGATATCAGGTTTTACTTTAAATATAATGCTTTTAATTTTAAAAAGCGGTATGTGACCATTATAAGATGTCAAACATTACAAAGATATAAAATATAGGATCACAAAATCCTGAGACACTATAGAACATAATGGTTAGATATGTGAACTTTAGAGTCAGATTGCCCAGTTTTAAATCCCAGTTCTAAAACAGGTGTGGTAGTGCATGCCTATAATCCCAAGGGCTTGGGAGGCTGAAGCAGGAAGATTGAAATTTCAAAGCTAGTCTCAGCAACTTGGTGAGGCCCTAAGCAACTTTGTGATACCTTATCTCAAAATTTTAAAAAATAAAAATAAAAAGGGCTGGGGATGTGACTTAGTGGTTAAGCGCCTCTGGGTTCATTCCCTGGGTTAAAAAAAAAGAAATCCCAGTTCTATCAATCTTTAGTTATGTGACCTTGAACCAGTTGCTAGCATTAAAGTGGGGATAATAAGCATACATATCTCAAGAACCATGGAAAGGAGCAAGTGATTTAATATGTATAAAATGTTGAGTTTGGAGACTGACACATTCAGTAAGCACTGGTCATTTTTTAAGGGACATTTTCCCATATATTATAATTATACTTTATCATCTGATAATATATTGTTTTGCAAATTGATTTTTTGTTTCACTTAACAAGCGATCTTGAACATCTTTTCATGCCAATTAATAACCTGTAGATCAACCAGGTCCTGTGGCACACGTCTGTAATCCCAGTGGCTCAGGAGGTTGAGGCCGGAGGATCAGGAGTCCAAAGCCAGCCTCAGCAACTTAGCAAGGTGCTTAGCAACTCAGTACGATCCTGTCTCTAAATAAAATACAAAAAAAAAAAAAAAAGGCAGATCTACCCATTCTTAGTGGCTACAGAGTATTCCAATGTATAAAATGAATATAATATTATTTACCAAACTTTTAGTTTCATTATTTGACCATGTCATCCATAAATAGCATTCCTCCATTTTTTCTATTAAGAAAATGCCACAAGGGGCTGGGGTGGTGGCTCAGTGGTAGAGCACTTACCTAGCATGTGTGAGGCGCTGGGTTCAATTCTCAGCACCACATATAAATAAATAAAAGGTCCATTGACAACTAAAAAAATGTTGTAAAAAAAAGAAAATGCCACAAGAAATATTACTAGAAATATTTTTGTTTATTTATCTTCAAAATGTTTTTTTAAAAAATTTTATTTGTTCTTTTTAGTTATACATGACAGTAGAATGCATTTTGATATATATATATATATATATATATACATATATACATACATGGAGTATAACTTCCCATTCTTGTGGTTCTACATGATGTGGAGTTACACTGGTCGTATATTCATACATGAACATAGGAAAGTTATGTCTGGTTCATTCTACTGTCTTTCCTATTCCCATGCACCCTCCCTTCTCCCCCATTCCCCCTGTCCAATCCAGTGACCTCCACTCTTCCCCTCCCACTTTGTGACTCAGCATCTGTATATCAGAGAAAACATTTGGTCTTTGGTTTTTTGAGATTGGCTTATTTCACTTAGCATGGTAGTCTCCACTTCCATCCATTTACTGGCAAATGCCATAATTTCATTCTTCTTTGTGGCTGAATAATATTCCATTGTGTATAGGTATCACATTTTCTTTATCCATTGCCTTGTTGAAGGGCACCTGGATTGATTCCACAGCTTAGTTATTGTGAATTGAGCTGCTAAGAACATTGCTGTGGCTGTTTCACTATAGTATGCTTGTTGCTGAAAGCTCTGTCCTTGTCCCTGATGCCAATCCAGTCATGAGGACACAAGTTTTGAGAAAAAGGAAAAAGATAGATTATTGCTTTGCTAGCAAAGGAGAAACACAGGGGATTCCTTTCCCAAAGGCTGTGATTCTGTCCATCAACAGAAATAGGGTTTTTTTTAAAAGAGGTAATTCAGAGAAAATGAGATTAGGGAGGAGAGATCAGGAAGGAGAAGGTTAGGGTAAAGAAGATCAGGGAGGAGAAGATTAGGAAAAAGAAGATCAGGGAGAAGAAGGTTGGGAGGAAAAAAAAAAGACATGTAAGTTTCAAAGCCACAAGGGATATACTCAAAGCATCAAGTGAACCCCTGTTACATGCTGATTTTGTTATGCTCAAATTCAGGACCCCCAAAGACCACCAGAGACCCAAGATCGATGTAAGCAGCCAAGAGGTGTTTATTGCGAACTACCTCCGTCCTCCGCGTGCACACACAGCAACTGGTGACGCTGACAGGCCCCGAGCCCAGGGTTTGCAGCAGTTTTATACATTCTTTGGAGAGGGCAGGGACTTCGCATACATCATAGCAAATCATCACACACCGCGGGAAAATCAAATAACAACTCTAAAACATGATTAGCACATTCACTGGCGGGAACAAGTTGGGTAGGGGTGATTGGTCAGTACAAAAGGGGTATTCATTTGAACTGATTGGTTTGAGCCAAGAGGGGTGTACGTGCTGAACTACATGGTTTCCCAACTTGTTATCAACCACCATAAAATACTGGGAGGGTCACCTGGCATCCCAGGTATTTCCCTGTCTCATGCTGATTGGTGGCTGCTAGGGGGCTGCTATGGATCCCCACCTAGCCTGACTGAGTCAGTGACACCTGGCTCAGCAGATCTCTCCTGTAGATAAACAACTTAGCAGGGTGGGAATGTGCCTAGGAGTACTCTGTGGGTTTTTCGAAGGATGAAGGTCATATCCCTTCCTTGGACAGGCTTTGCTCTGAGGTAGAGGCTGGTTTTTCAATTTTAAGTCCTTTGGGTATATGCAGAGGAGTGAGATCACTGGGTCAAATGGTGGTTCCATTCCAAGTTTTCTAAGTAATATCCGTACTGTTTTCCAGAGTAATTGTACCAATATGCAGTCCCACCAGCAATGTATGAGTGTTATCTTTTCCCCTACATCCTCACCAACATTTATTGCTACTTGTATTCTTTTTCTAAAAAAAATTATTTTTTGGTTGTACACATACCTTTATTTATTTATTTATTTTTATGTGGTGCTGAGGATGGAACCCAGGGTCTCACACGTACTAGGCGAGTGCTCTACCTCTGAGCCACAAACCCCAGCACTCCTACCACTTGTATTCTTGATGATTGCCATTCTGATTAGAGTGAGATGAAATCTCAGTGTAGTTCTAATTTGCATTTCTCTGATTGCTAGCGATGTTGAACATTTTTTCATATATTTGTTGACCATTTGTATTTCTTTTTCTGTTAAGTGTTTTTTCTTCAAAATGTTTTTAAGACAAATTTATAGCTATGGAAATGCCGGGCCAGAGAATATGAATGTTGAAAACAAATTATAGCCATTGCCGAGTGCCTAACAACTTTTTTTTAAAGTGCCTTTTCCAGAAGAGCATACCAATACTGCATGGTATCAATGCTGTTAAACTTTGACAATTTGATAGGTGATGAAAATGTCCTAGGGTTTAATTTGTTTAATTTTAATTTTATTTTTAATGTCATTCTTCTTCTTTTCATAGATTTATGGATCATGTCAATATTTTCCCTCTATGGGTTTCTTATTCATGTCTTTTTTTGGGGGGGGGTCAATTGCATGCCTTTTTGTAAAGACTTTGAAAATATTTTACACATTAAGAAAGAGAGGGCTGGGGTTGTGGGTCAGGGGTAGAGCGCTTGCCTAACATGCATGAGGCATTGGGGTCGATCTTCATCAACACATAAAAATAAAAATAAGATACTTTGTCCAAAAGAAAAATATATTGTGTCCACCTAAAAACTAAAAAAATTAATGTTTTTTGTTTTTTTGTGTTTAAGAAAGAGAAGGGCTTTTAACAGGTAGAAAATTTGACTGTAGGGCACAAGATTCTAGCTATTTCATGCTCCCAAAGTCTAGAAGGAAAGTTCTTCTGATCTTCTAGAAACAGTGGGTGAGGTACTGCCCAAAATGGAAAGGGAAAGAAATGTTTGAAGGTAATTTAGACCTTAAGGCAATTTCATAGATCTTTTGGTCTTTGGATGGAGAAACTTCTTGTTTTCAAATATTCATTCTCCCTCAGGGCCGGCGGCTCAGTGATGCCCTCTGCCTCTGAGTTCTCCTCTGAATCTCTAATTTCCCCCTAACAGTTGCCCAATCCCTCCTCTGCTTTTAAAATCCAATCCCCAGTCACACAGCACAGGCAAATTAAAAGAGACAGGCCTCTTATTCCACCTCCACCTCCATCTTTTACAGGTGGGGATAGTGAGTCCCAAGAGGAAAGAACTGTCTCTGGTCTCATTTCCCCAACCAACTGGCTCTTGGTCCTATTTTTCCTCTCGAGTCCTTTTTGTCTGCTCCAATTTGGTGGTCTGGGAGCAATTTTGATTGATTATCTTGCCTGGGAAAATTCATCTTATTTTGCAACCCTACCAATCAATATTTACAACTTTCTTTGGCTGGGAATTCTTGTTTGTGTCTCCTCCCGCCCCTTGGGTAAATATCTGTTTCCTCTCCGAGTTATCTTAGCGCCAGGGCTTCCTTCTTCTCTGACTCTTCTTGAGTTACATCTTTCCCTAAATCTAGGGCACAGTCATATGTTTTCCTAGACAGTCTGATCTGTGACTGTTTGTCTGCCTTCTTTTATTTCTTCCCTCCTTCCTTCCTTCCTCCGTTCTTCCTCTTTTTGATTCTTTGGCTACTTTATCACACTGATGTCCAGGGATGTCTCAGGAGTAGCTCCAGGGAATAGGCTTATACAAAGGAATGGTTCAGTTAAGCCTTTTGGCTTGATGGAGCCACTTCCTCTGTGATTCACAGCCTCTTCACAGTGAGCAGAATGGCTGTCATCAGGAAAGATGGAAAAAGGAGATTGCAAATGTTACATTGTCCCCAGATTTCAAGCTTGTGGGGGAGGGACTTGTTCAGTGAGCTCCTGGTTTTTTTGAAATGCACTGAGCAATCAATTACACTTGAAAATTCTTATCTGGATGTAGGCACTTGTGTGGGTTTATGCAGAGCATTCACTTAGGAGGCATGAAACCATGGTTCACATTGGCTCTGTTTCCTTACAGCCCTGTGACCTTGGTAAGGCACATAACCCATCTTGGCCTCATTTTTCCTCTGTATAAAACCAGAGAATTGTATTAGAACATTTCTGTGGATCTTTTCAACCCCAAATCATGATGAATCTCCACTATCTAGGTATTGACTGTCTTTCTAACTCCAGGCTGGCAGATAAGCAGAAGTGTCGATCTAGATCTAAGATGTCAGAGGAGAAAGTGAATCTTGAGGCTTCTGGGTTAGCCTGCATCTTTGCTCTTCCTATTTCTGACCTCTCCAAGATCAGCAGGGAGGCATCCGTTTATTATAGTAATGCTTGTGGCTCCAATATATTCCCCTAAATTTCAGTAAGCATTTTAATGACCTAGGAAAGGAAAATTCTAGCATTAAGCCCTTTCCCCTTCTCTTTCTTCCCCATTGACATCTGTCAATCCCACCCTACCTCTCCAATCTTACCCCTATTCTCAGGGTACTAAAGAGCCTGCTCTCAGGGCACTTTGTTCTAAGATCACCAGTAACAAGCCCAGACTAAGTGCTATAGACCAGTACATGAACCAGGCTGTCAGGAGATTGCTATTGGCACTTGGGGGAGGGGCTGGAGAAGATACCTTAAAGAGGCGCTTGGCCCTAAGTGCTGACCTGGGAAGTCGCTGGTCTCACCTCCACCCCAGGAAACTTCCTCAATGCATCCGGCTGCTGGGTGAGCAGCTTCTGCTCCTTTTCTCTCTCTCCTCCTGTTCTCCCACATCACTGTGCAGGGAAGGGATGGGAAAGTGGTATTTCTTGTTCCTACAAGGGAACATTTGCCTCCCCTTCAAAGGAGGAAATAACAGAATGCAGAGGTGCCTTCTCATAGACTCCCCAGGCTTTCCCATCCTGCCTCACTTTCTCCTTCTACAGGATGGGTGTGAAAACACCACCCAGGTCCTCACTCCTCCTCCCAGAGGAATGCTGGGCATGTGGAAATAAAATCAGGCACCCCTGTCAAGAATGGTTGACAGTGAAGAGCCCTGACAGTGCCAACGTATTACAATAATATTAAAGATTTAATTTTTCTCCACTGCATTGAAATGGTACCTTGTTCTCATATATTTTTTTTAAAAAATTCATTCATTTTTGCTTCATCATCCCGTAAAAGCAACAGCACTGTTTGCATGTGGACAACTGAAAGGGATCCTCATTCTGTCCTGGAGATTTACATTTCCAGGGGTTCCTGATGCCACACAGTACACGTGTCCATGGGATAGGGCTCAGAACTACCACCATTAATCCAGGAAATTCCAGATCCTGGGTAACATCATGGCAGAGATCAGTGCTACAAGGAAGGAAGGAGAGTGGAGATGAGCAGCTCACACAGAATGTGAGTGTGGTGCACTCACCACTGCACTGACACACACACATGAGCTGGCCCAGGGGACCAGTGCCATCCTCAGCTGCACTGAAGGCTTGCTGGAAACCCAACACGATCACCACTTTCTGCACTGCCTCAAGGGAAAAATAGAAGGGATTTTCAATGCCAGGGAAGAATCCTAAATGCTCCTGAATTTTCTTCAGCTTTTTCCAAGGCACAGAATGAGAGAGTCTGGGTCCCAAAATGGACCCAAGATGATTGAATAACCCATTTAAGACCAAATGTGAGCTACATCCATTTTTTTTTTAAGCAAAAGACTATTTGTGGTAAAGTAAAGCAAAGAGTGACAGCTTCTCTTATTTTCTTCTGTGGGTGACATAAAAATCTGGCCTTCAGAAGACTTAAAACCACTCTCAGTGCTGTTGATAAATATATGGCATGAAAAAAAGAGCAAAATGTGCTACTAAAAATCCTACTAATGATGGGCTTTTATTATGCCTCAGTTCAGCAAGGGTCAGCACTAATATCCCCTTTCCACATAATTATAAAGTGTCAGAATTGAAGTATGAACTCAGGTTGGCCTGACCCCAAATGGAGTTTTTAATCTTCATTAATAATCTGATAGCAGGGGGAAAATAATTATTGTCTTAATTTACATTTAATTATTAATGGTGTTCAGTATCTTTTCATGCTTATTGACCATTTATATTTCTTCTGTCAATTACCAGATCATACCTTTGCCTCATTTTTCTATATCTTCCAAATCTAATTGATTTTTAGGACTTCTATGAACATAGAGGTAATTCTCCATTATATGTAACAAATGTTATATTGAGCTATATTCTACTCTAGTGTTAGTTGCTGTTTAATATATGGTTTTGATCTGCTGGTATTCATTTCCAGAAATGAACAGAGATCTATTTTCCCTGAAGGTCTGATATTTATTCCAATAATATTAAAGATTTAATTTTTCTCCATTGAGTTTAAATGCTACCCTATTCTCATGTTTTTAAAAAGCCATTCATTTTTGCTTCAGCATCCCCCAAAAGCAACAGAATTGTTTATGTGTGGACAACCGAAGGGGATCTGCCAGAGGCTAGACTGTAAAGAGATGAAACTGTCTGCCTCACTCACAAATGCACAGTGAGTCCAAGATCTGGTACAGACCGTGCCCTTGCAGGACAGCTGTGGATGGAAGAAGCAAGTGAATGGGTGAATGCAGACCTCAGCAAAGCTGCAGAATATTGAAGGTTCTAATGAGGTTCAAGGAGTGAGGACATTCAGAATGAATGACCCCAGTGTCCTGGATATGGATAAAATATGCAGGATCTGAGCCCAGACTCTAAGACTCCCTTCATGACTCCCCATATTAAGATAAAATGGCTGCTATTATTTGTCTCTGATTTTTACATGTAAATTATTTCAATGTCTTAACTATATTTGTCCTTTGGTATCCTCAGTATGGGTACCCCCTGGGGTACCCAAAATTTACAATATTCAAGTTCCTTATGTGAAATGATGTAGTATTTCCATGCTCCATAAGCTCCCTATACTCTAAAGCATCTGTAAATTACTTGTCACATAAAACAATGAAATGCTACGTAAAAAGTCGTTCTACTTATTATTTAGGGAATAACAAGAAAAAAAGACTGTATATGTTCAGTAATGACACAATTTTTTTTTCTTGGATGGAACCCAGGGGCACTCTACCACTGAGCTACATCCCACAGTCCTTTTTATTTTGAGATAGTGCCTCAATAAATTGCTAAGGCTGGCCTTGAACTTGTGATCCTCCTTCCTCAGCCTCCAGAGTCTTTGGGATTACAGGCTTATGTTAACGCTCCTGATTTGCCAGCAATTTTTGTTTGCTTGCTTTTTTTCTTTTTTAAAACCTGAGAATCAGTTGGGCCTCAAGTCTCTTCCTAGTTCTTCCTTCCTCTAGAGCATCCAAAAACCTTTCCTCTGCATAAACAAGGATGTTGGCCACTTAGCTACAAAGACCATAAGACCCTGGTTTCCAGACCATCTTCCCTTCAAATAGCCTGTCCTATTATCAAAACACCTCTGGCCGTGGAGCAGCTGTCCTGATGGCCCAGGCACGCAATTGTAGAGGGATCTCGAGAACCCTCACTTTCTTGCACCATGACACTATTTGACAGTCTGAAGTCAAGTTTTGTACCCAGTCTTTCTTGCTGCTCCTAGCATGCACTGGAATGAGGAAGTCTGCAAAAATCCTTGTCCATACAGGGTCCATCTTGCGGAGCTCCAGTGCTAGGGCTGCAGGTCTTGAGCCCAGAGAGGAATAAGCTGACTGTCCCTTTTCCGCCCGGCAGGTGGTGATCGAGTCGGACCTCTACACTCCCCGGCCACTGGAGCTGCTGCCTCACCGCAGCGACCGTCGGGATGCAGTTGATGGCCGCAGGTTCGGCCGGCTGCAGAACACTAGGCCTCCAGGGGCGCATCCCACCAAAACCCCCGCCAGACCTGGTAAGTGAGTCCCAACCCGGTTCCTAAACCGCGCTGCGCGCAGTGACCTCCATAGAGCAGGTTGCACGCCTGTGCGTCCTGCCTGGTGTTTTCCAAAGGACCATGTGTTCCTCTGGCAGCCTCAGGCAGGCCAGGTGAGCAGAGAACCTTGGGCGTGGGGTGCCAGGTGAGCCAACACCTGCTCCTTTCCCACACAAATGCTGTTTCCACTAGGAAAGCACCTGCTCTCAGGCCTCACCCACAGCTGCCCTTCATAACACCTGCCTATAAAACACTGGCTTCTGCGTGTGCACCCAGTGAAGTCGCTCTTGTCTACCATCTTGCTCCCCAGGGAGCAGTGCTATACGCAGGGGATGCAAATCATTATGCTCAGGGACATGAAAATCTTGACCCATGAAGCGTGAAGAAGTGAAGGAAGCTCACATTATTTACTTAACTCGTGTGTGTGTTTGCCAATTTACCAAATTTGACTTAATCTATAAAAAGAATTTAGGGGCAAATCTGTTTTGGAAACTGGAAACTTAACAATCTTACCTTGGTGGGTTTTTTTTTTTTTTTTAAATAGCTTCCACCCAAACAGTGAAATAGGATTCTGCCTGTGGCCCACTCAAGTCTAAGATGACATTTAGGCTTTAATTTTTAGCAGGTTTAGGATATTTCTGTTATGCCTACAACCTGAAGTTATTCATATTTTAATTCCAAAAATTCTAAGTAGAAAGTTCAGGGGGTCCTTCTCAAAACTTTTGTGCATTAACAATGTTATATTTTATAAGAACTGCAATAAGACTCCCTTGAAAGTGTCCCTTCACCCATCTTCCCATCCACTCATGCTGCCCCTCTTGTTTTGTCTTGTTGTTTTGTTTTATTTTACCTGATTGGGTGCTGGGCTAGACCTCTAAAGTTTCTTTGGTCACTAAGAACCTGATCCTGCCCTTATAACTCTATGTATAAAAACACTCAAATTGAGTTCCCCTTAAGTGATTGTATATATGTATATGTATGTGAAGTGAAGGCATTAGGAAAACCACAATCTGCCTTGCAAATTAAGAGGAGATGATAAGATTTTTCTCTGTGTCTATGTATAGGTGAGTGGGTGGATGCATGTGTGTGGAAAGAGAAAAAGAGGCAGAATATTTCTATTTGCTACCAAATTGAAGTGAATTTAGAGCCATGCTTCTCAAAAATTAGTGTGCAAAAGAATCACCTGGGAGTCTTGTTTTTATGCAGGATTCTAATTTAGGAGAATTAGGTGGGCTCAGAGATTTTGTTTCTAACACTCTCTGTAATGTTGATGGTGCTGCTCCAGAGACAACAGATTGAATAGCAAGGATTTAGAGATGATCTAATGCAATGGTTCTCCAAGTGGGCCCTGGGAGCAAAAGCAAGAGCTGGAAGTTTGTTGGAAATGAAAATTTTATGGAATCAGAAACCTCCAGGTTATGAAACATCAATCTGTGTTTTAATGCGTGTGCGCATACGATTCTTGTGCATGCTAGAGGCAGAGAACCTCTGATTTACTGCAGCTGCCCCTCTACCAATTTATAGAAGAGGAAACTGAAACCATAGAAGCTGTTTGACTTATCGAAGGTCACACTGCTTATTTGCCATAGCCAAGGTGAAATCTCAGGTCTCTGGATTCCCTAGCTAGTGTCCCTTCCCTCAGGGAATAATGTCTCCCCAACCATCTAGTTTTAGGGTCACTTTCAATACCTTTCTAAGTAATTTGTATCAGCTTGGACTGTCCGAGTCAGTCTTGAAAGACAAGAGCAACACGTGATGGAATGGAAAGAATCTGCCCAGCACGTGACAGTCAGCTCATGCAGGGATGTGCTAGTCAGATGTAAAAAAAAAGGAGATTGAACTGGGCATTGATTCAATTCCTTCAGCCCCCAGTCTGATAGATTCCAGAGAGGATGCAAAGGAGGGAGTTTTTTTGAGACAAAGCCATATCCTGATGCTCTTCAAATAAAGGCTAGACACCAATCCATAGGTGTTGAGTCTCACTCCCTCCCCTCAGAAAGCTTATATCTCTGAGAATCTGGGATCTAGGGACTTAGCTGTATATCTCTGAGAATCTGGGATCTAGGGACTTAGCTGTATATCTCTGAGGATCTGGGATCTAGGGACTTAGCTGTATATCTCTGAGGATCTGGGATCTAGGGACTTAG